TGAAAATATGATAACAGTTATGGGAACTTCCTATAATGGAGACAATATTGAAAAAAATCTTTTTGAAAAGAGTAATTTTGGGTTAAAAACTGCATTTTTGTGACGAAAATTGACAAAATCTATCATTATTGATAGTAAAAGTAAAAACAAATCGATTTTACACTTTTAGACAGTATATTAGATCATTATACGATAATATCCTATCAATTGTTTTTGCATTCGAATTTTTGGGTAAAATAGTTATTTATCTTGACTAAGTAAATATTAAATGATTCAATAGTTATAATACGAACTATATAGAACTTATGTCAAAGAAACAATGTCACATCTTTAAATTAAGTAAATAAAGGACATATTTAGGTAGTTGACTCTTTCAAGAATAGAAAATATAACTGACAATAGTATTCATTTCTAATTTGAGCCAAAGAAAAGTTCTTCAGCTTCTATATTAATGTCGCCATGCCTTGAATTCATACAGCTCTGAACACGACATTCGCCACATGATATGTTACATTCTAAACCATGTTTTATACATGTACAGCGACCAGTATCACAATTAGTCTTGCAGTTGCAACGTAAAATCGAAAGGTGTCTTTGTGGAGCGGGTGGCTTTTTTGTCTTAATAGGCATAAGTTTTCCATTTACAATTAACCAACCGAAATCACATGGATCTATCTCTTCTCCTCCAATCCATTTCTGAACTTAAAACTATGTCCTTAAGCTATGGTATGCAGCAGTTTCGGTAGTTGGAGGGAGAGTGTGTATCTGAATCACTTCTTTGCAAGTAATAACTCTGTTTGCAAACTTTTTGTACCTGAGAACGTCAAGTCCTTCGAGCGGAACACCTCCGTACAAAAACGTGATTATTTTTCCCCGGTATTCAAGAGGCCCTTTCAAAAATATCTCACCAAACTCTTTCAATATTTGACTATCGATAAATTTCTTTAACGTAGCTACCTTCCCTACACCATACAGCTTTGATGTCGTGTACAAACCGCTTATTGCATGAATGATTGGAAGGACTTTGCACATGTTTTGTCCAAGAACGGCTTTCGTTTTATCTATGTCCCATATTTTTGACTTTGTCTTCTTATAATGGTTTGGTTTAAAGATAAGATTCATAGATCCAAAATTATAACAGTACAACAGAAGTACCAACAGGTCAGTATCTTCACCCAGGAGTATTGTTGGGTATGAAATGGGAGATTCTACTGCAGTTTTAGCTATCAGTACGTCTGAATCTGCTGAAGCATGCTTCGTTTCAATACCGTTTGAATGCATATTTTTACTCAACATTGCAATAAAGTTCTGTTTATTTTCATTATTAGTCAAACATAATTCCTTTTTTTTTACCTGAAAGGCGTTGTCTCCGTAAATGTTACCTTTGTTCCGAAGATTCCTTTGATGCGCTTAAAATGCATTGCATCTTCGTATCAGGACCGGATACGTATCCATCAAATACTACAACTATGGAATTTGTTCCATAACACTTTACAGAATCAATATACCTTTTACAGATTTCCAAAAATGTCAACCCACATTTCCAAGGTATTTTATGAATAAGAGATCCGCCATCAACAACATAATTGTAAAAAATATCTGTATATCCAGTACTGCAGTCTTCAAGATTCCAAATCGCATCCGCTAGAGTTGACTTTGATGCTGACCTCATAAATCCGGACGAATCAAACATAGAACTTGGTTGACTAGACAGTTCATAAGCAAATATTTCTGATTTGTCTTCATATGTAACTGTCTGCAGCTACGATAAATCTCTGAAATAAAAGTTGTTGGTCGATTGATGCTATTTCAGGTTCTGAATTTACGCAAATAGGTGAGTCTTAAAGTGTGATAGCTTGGTATTTTCTTTTGAAAGTGAACTCTGTTACGCATTTACCTTCCATCGATTTTAATATACTGAGTCCAATGTCTTAAACTCTATCCGCATTCACCTGTCTCTATGTTTCTCATACCTTTTTCCTCACCAAACGGGTTTCTCTCTTTAAGAATACCCATCCCATGAAAAGTTCCGAACCCATCTAAAGATTGGATATAGCGGGCTACATTATCTACAACGAATTGTACAAATGAATGATTGTCATTTTCATTTTCTGAGCTTCTTGACGCAGAAGCGTTAATCTCAAATTTCTGTACCTCACTGTATGATGAACAAAACCCAAGATTGTACAGTGTGTCAACAAGAAACCGGGAACCAAAGTGGTGGTGCATTTGAATACCTAAGCCAATCTGCAATGGTGCTATTACATTTCGTGGCCTTGTTGCCTGTATGATTGCATGTCCAATAGCTGAAATTTTTGTTCAAATGTTCAAAAATATTTTTAGTGAACAAGGGACATAGTCAGCATTTGAGGTCTCTGACTCCATTTCTTCTGCAGACGGATAGTAAATGTCTTTCGATATTATTAGCTTGGTGTCTTATTTTTGTAAGCTGTGCTGCAGTTGATATGATAGATTTCTTTTCTTCTCCCTTATTTTCTTTTCCTATACGGTTATAAAAATTATCCAATATCGACGAAATGTTGTCTCGAAACGTCAGAATACTTGGTTTTCTTTTTCTCCTGTAAACAGTACTGATTTGCCAAAATAATCCAGGATTTTTTTCTTCATGTGGACAACTGAATATGTATTATCTACCCCACATAATTTTTCCATCTCGCGTATTAAATCGGCGATCGATAATTGCTTCCTATCCTTTTCTATTTTCAACATAATTGCCTGAAAACCATTTTCTGCATTGTCATTCTTTGGTCTACCTGCGTAAGATGTTTTTTCTTTTTTCAAATTGTCCTCTGGTGTTGTAGCAATAGTTTGTAGCATTTGCTTCATAGTTCTAAAGTTTGAGTTGCATTGTGAATGATAAACAGCAGTCGCAGCATGCAAATCAGAATGAGCCATCTGTATTCTACTGAAAACTTCTTCTCCCCATTTGTCATTTCTCTTTCTGCATGCAGTTTCAACCGATGGCTCAAATTCTAAAAGTTCTGACACAAACAACGTCATATCCTCTTTTCCTTTTGTAATTCTTTGCAGTTTGCCCACAGAACAAGCAGTTATTTTTGAATATAAAAAGTGGTTTGCTGGACCTTAAATCTCTTTCTATCGTGACTCGTTTCCGTATCTACATTCAAATTATTTTCCATCTCGTCGATTTAAGGTTTATGAAATATTGTCTGCAATCATGGTGAACTGTTTGGCCAGGAACAGTTAATGTTTCTTGTTGTCTGTCGGAGCTGATTTTGTTGCTGTTATCAACCCCTTTTTTCCAAGCTTAACTGTGGGTTCGCCGTTTTCAAGGAGCTTGTCACAAACGATACAGTTGTCGATGATGCCATCTGTACAAAAAAAATCAAAACAAATTATAAATCAAACTTTTAAATATTCTTTTATTTTTGAATATATTTTGTCATATTTGAGTCATGAATATAGCACAAATAAAAAAATATATACTATTGCTTAATGACAAGTATCTATTAAAACATATCTGATTAAAAGCAATATAAAAAAAATGATATTATTTAAAGCCGCCGGTGGTAATGAATACAATAATAAAAAAATATATAAATGGAATAAAACGATGATTTTCACTAATTTATTGTATGAAAGTGTGTAAATGTTTTTGTTATAAATCATAATAAAATAGTGATGGAAAAAATTTAACTTCAAATAGTCTGAATTAGCCGTAAAACATTAAAATTTCCATTTTCATTTCGGAAATTACAAATATAAAATGGTGCTAACGGCGTTCCATACTTTTCGTCTGAAATACCCTGGTCTAGCAGCGGTCATTAAATGCTAGTTTTTCGTTGTTTTGGATAAATCTTAGTAAGGGGTAATTAGTTTTATTTATAACCAAAGGACTTATCAGAGTTTCTAGTCTTACATTCAAAATTAATTCATCAGAAGGCGTCGACAGAGCCAAGGTGCAAATCGTAGGCATATAACATTTACTGACAAAATATTGTCATTGATGAACGTTTATATATGAATTGAACATTATAAACATACGTATTATACAACTTATTGTCTTTTATTCCATTAAGATACTTACCAATACCGGCAAAATCGTAGATACAAAAACAGCAAATTCGTCTGCTACATTGCGGTTATTTCCATTTTGTGAACTCTTTCACTCTACGGTAGCCCGAACGTTACGTAATTTACACAAAAGTTGTTAACAAATTTGTAATCGATTTTAAGAAAAAACAAGCCGATCGATTTTTGTCGATTTTTGATATGTTGTTTAGACATAATTTATTATTCAAAATTCCACAAAAATTTCTTTTGTTGCAATTTGTTTGACGTTAAACTTAATTTTGACTAGACTAAAAGATGAACAGAGAAATAACATCATTTGATTGTTCGAGTTTCATAATCTCTTCACGTTTATAATTAGTGACAAAGCATTTACCAAAAAAAAAAAAAAAATGCATTTACCCGAATTCTACAATAAATACAATATGTTTCGTGACGAATTGAAAACGTAGAGACACATTATTCGGATTCAGAATAATGAGTCAAGGTATGGTGACATGTCATCCTTCGGAAAGTATATTGGGATTTAGCACTTTAAAAATCTATCTCAGTTTGTCGTCAAGTACAACGCATGGCACATATGCATATCACGGTATCATGTTCTCGTCCTAAACGTTAAACGTTAAACAGCCATCCATCATCATTATCACATTTAAAAGGGATGTGCCATGTTGTTATATATGCTGTTTTAATTAAATTAGTTGATGAAAAATGTAAAGTTAAGTAGTGTCTAATGTACTGAAAACTCAACAATACTTTTGATTTAAAAGGGGGAAATTTGAATTAAATGATCAACCTACAAATCATTTCAAAAGTTTAATTTTTCCCTCAACATGGTATTGTATTTCTGAAGTGGATTAACATCTTAATGAATAAAAGAAAATACGTATGGGATGAATTTCTGTCTTTCTTTGTTATTCATCTTATCTTTCATATGGTAGATACTGTTGCAGTCATCTGGAAACATCTTAGTTGTGCATAATGTGACCAATACAACTACGGGATATTATACTTGTATCGCAACGAACGACGCTGGAACTAGCCAAGCAAATGTTTTACTTAAAGTTACTTATGGTATGTAATTGATACAAAAAATTGAAGCATTAATATGCACATGAATAATTGTTGTTAAATGCAGACATGTCTGTGATTGTATGTGTTATATGATAAAAAGATCAGCAATCGAACAATTATTCGTACAATGAAAAACCTTAGAATATGAAAGGAAAATACACTGTTGAGGTTTTTGATTTTGGACAGGCACTCGAATATGTGAAAGGTTAAGCTAGATTTTGAGGTCTGAACATTTTTTCTTTTCTCAAATAATTACTGTTAAACCAAAGGCCACATTAAGGAACTTACAATACAAATCAGCAAAGGAAAAGTCTTTATTTCTGAAATAAAGGTATAATTGATAGAAAAAAATTATGCCTGTAGTTACTAAAGGCAAGCTCAAGTTATATTAATTAACCTGCTAATAAGAAACTATGTCCCACGCTTTTCATAGAGAATTTCACGAAGTAACGTCATGACCACTGGTGTACGTTTGTATTTGACCAACAAGAATTTGAATGTTTTGAGTTATATTCAGATGAAAGGTGTTATCAATCATGGTTCAGTTCCTTTTTGAAATTATATGTTGCTTTTATTTAAGAATTATTCGTAAAACAAACCATTCAAACTGTAGAATATATACATATTAGAGACTTCTGAAGTGTACCAGAGGAAGATTATCCTAAAACCTGTGCTTAATTCTTTATAACCAATTGACCAGTGTAAAATTGTGATAAAAGTGTAATGGTGATACGAAATACAATCTGGCAAAAACTTTTGACTGCAAAGATAGAAACATTTGCTACCATAATACATTGAAAAGCAACAAACATTTATATACTTATCGTTGTTTTTTTTTTCATATCATATATTGTTAAAAATAAAATTGATATATTTTGTTTATCCTTTAGATGTTCCCCGTATTATCACACCTCCTAAAACGACTGTCATAACGACAGGACATTCACACAATTTTACATGTATTGCAACTGGGCATCCACCACCGTCGATTATATGGTCCTTCAAATCTGTAAGTATATTCCTTTTTCTAAAACTATTTAATTTGTGATATTTTTTTTTTTAATTTTAAATGAAGAAGAGAATGTGACATATTTGTCTTTCGCTTGCGTTTTTATCCAATATCGAGAGTCAACATAGTGCCCCATAATTGTTAACATTGGCATTTATACCACATGTTATTTTTAAATTCATTTCCATTTCATCCTTGACATGTCGGTTCTTTTATAACTTGTTTTTGGATTTAGGTTAGGCTCATTGTTGAAGGCCTTACGGTGACCTATAATTGCTAACTTCTTTGTCATTTGATTTCTCGTTAATAATCGTCTCATTTGTTTTCATATCATATCTTTATTTTTTTATATTGAGACACTTATTCTGTTGATAAACAGATCATGTGTGTTTATACACTAAATGGGGTACTTTAGTTTTATGTTTTGGCGGGTGCCAAAATGTGTCATCTTAGCCTTTATATTGTTATTTGTGTCTTTCACGGAAAAGACGAAAAGGTGAATTGAGTGTACTACTTAATTTGTTTGTTAATATTGTCATTGTTATTCATATATATATAGTTTACACAGCAGTCAACAAAGCTTCCGTCCCATCAGCTTCATCAACACGGTAGTTTACTGACACTTTGTGCTATCAAGACACATGAATCTGGAACTCTCTCTTGCACAGCGCAAAATGAATTTGGAGATGATAAAGCTTCGATAGCAGTGGTATTTAGAAATCGTTAGTATATAATTGAAGTTAATTAAACGAAACAACATGCCCGATCAAAAGAAAAACATAGAAAAAGCACAAAATACTAATACTAAACGTTATTGCAGTTTGAATTTCAAGACGCAATACTCTATGAAATGTTTTCTCTAACTGGGATATCCCCATGTGAATAATTATTTGTCATGCAATGGATATACATTTATGTATGGTACTGTTGCAACAATAATATTTCAAAAAGGTTTTCTCGATGTATCTGTATCAATGAATGCTAAACCCGATCACTTATATTAACTGACTTGTTTTCTTTTTTTCATATAAGACTTGCGAAAATGTTTTTTTGTTTCAAGTAATTGTATTAGATATACATATCAGGACGTTAGCTCGATTGGGTCTATAAAGTGTACATCTTTGATTATTTGGTATTTAATTACTACAAATTTTCACTTCTTCGTACTATGAACATCAAAATTATTTCATTTTTCCTTAGATGCTGTTCTTGGACCTGTACAGGAAGTTTTATCTAGCACTAATTGTATATTTTTATTGTTGATATTCACCCCATATGTACCAAGTGTTAGATTAGTTTTATTGATATTAAAGAAATTTCTTGGTATTCCTAAACGGAAGATTTTATACACACAGAAGAAGAAGTATACTTAACAACAAAATTATTTTCATTTACCTGTGTATAATATGACGCAGGTTTCTTCAAAAGTGATGATTTTCTATAAATTGTTTGAAATTTAACAGTGATATCATACTTTAACTTTGTTTAAACCTGTTTATTTACTTTTGACTTTAATTATTTATTCCTTGTCATTTTTTATTAACTGTGTATTTGCATTCAGGTGTCACAGGTCAAATTTATTCGTTCATTGTGTGTTAATTTACGTTTTTTGATTGAGTTAAGCCTTCCAATTGATATTTTATTGTGTGTTTTTCTATGTTGTGATGTTATACTATTATTTCAGAAAAGGGAGAAGGTTTGATATCATTAAAACGTTTAATCCCGCTGCAAATGTTTGCACCTGTCCTAAGTCAGGAATCGGATTACAGTAGTTGTCGTCTGTTTATGTAGTTCATACGTGTTTCTCGTTTCTCGTTTTTATATAGATTAGACCGTTGGTTTTTCCGTTTGAATGGTTTTACACTAGTAATTTTTTGGGGCCCTTTATAGCTTGCTGTTCGGTGTGAGCCAATGCTCCGCGTTGAAGGCCGTACCTTGACCTATAATGGTTTACTTTTATAAATTGTAACTTGGATGGAGAGTTGTCTCATTGGCACTCATACCACATCTTCCTATATCTATCAAGATATTATTGTCAATGCCGAATGAGAGTTTTCAATAATTAAGGAGGGGTGTATTTCAGCTATTTGACCACAGATTATTGGAAAAGCATGACAAATGAAGAGTGCATTAATTTAACGACATCTTAGTATAAATACTTAATACAGTTTTTGGCTTAACATGTATACGATATCTCAAACCTTTCATTACTATTAATGATGTTTATGTTTTTTTCATTCTGACTAAAAGTGACCATTTATTTGTTGTCTTTATCCACTGTCCGTTTATCACAAAATAAATGGATTTAATCAGTCATCAAACATGTAATGTCTGTCGGTTTCTTAAGTATGTTGACCCGCATTTAAATACAATTATGCATCACTGTAACATCTATTTCTTTCAGCTGGCATCTCAGCTTTTGGGTAAACAACAGTACAACATTCCATAACAGATATTATATTTCAATAAAATCTAACAAAAATCAAGATTTGGCAGCTTTATTTATGCACACATACTGATATCTTATGCATTGGGAGTCATCAATACTTTGATACATCATTTTAGTGATTGTTGTGTATTTTGTTTGGTACATTTTCTAACTTTTTCAGGACAAGTAGTAATCATACACTATTTATGAAAATTTGTATATCTAGTACGTTTGTCCTATATAGCTCTTACGGCTTTGAGAGATTGTATGACATACAGTTACATCTCACTTATGTTGGAAGGTCGTGATTTCATATGTACACATAACCCAGGCTATCTGGATACACACCAATATGAGCCTGCTTTTGCGTAGATACACCGTTAAGCAGTGCACTTAAAGATCAAGTACCATTGTAGACATTAACAACAAAATACCTAACAATACTTAAATGATTCGCGCGTGAATTATCTGGTTAAACCGACACTATTCATTCGAAAATACCTGCACAAAGTCGACTCTATCTTTTGATAATCAGTTTTCTCTCTTGGGATTGTTAAAAAAAAACTAAATTTAACGAGTGTATTTTGAGAGCATACATTAAGTTTCCACTTGTCTTTATTGAATAGTTGTTTCGTTGGCATGCATATCAAATCTTCTCTTCTATATATATATACCCAGAAGACAATACAGGGACGATAAACAAAATATTGACCAAGGGACAATTCAGGGGTGAGCAAATTAATCAAGATATAGACCCAGTGAAATATACAGAAACGAGATGAATAGTCAAATGACAGACGTCAGGGTATTACAGGGGTGAGAAAAACAATCAAAATATAGAACATGGGGACATGTCATAAGGGACGTACAAAATAATCAAAATCTAGACCCAAAGGGGCATTACAAGAACAAACAAAATAATCAAAATATAGACATTAAGAGCAATACAAAGACGGAAAACACATCACAATATAGACCCACAGGACAATACAGGGACGAGAAATATAATCAATATATAGACACAAAGGACTATACAGGGACAAACAAAATAATAAAAAATCTTGACCAAAAGGAAATGACGTTGTAGAGAATGTTCAAATAAACAGTTATTTAGACTTTCGCTAACTTAATATACACCTTCAATATTAAATATGAATCTTCCGAATATAAAATTTTAAAGAATTTTATTTCATTTTGTTATTTTTGTGTGATTTTCTTTTCATTTACACCGTGTTGTATCCAATAATCTGCAGGCAAAATTTAAGATTAAACTGACCATCTACTCACTTGAGGAAGTATTTATGAACAGTAGAATAATTACAATAAAAAAGATCTTGAATAAAGTTCATCCAGATTTATGTTTTAAGTCATTGGATACGCACGTCTTTCTTCTAGTGGGATTGAAAGGATATTTATTTGTGTTTTTAAGTGGTGTTTCGTGAGAGAAAAAAGTTAATATTTATGCATATATGTAAATGGATTATGTGTGTTTTTCGTTTGATAAATACTATATTGGATGTAGAATCGTCTAAGAAAAATGAAATGGTACTACTAGAATAAACCAGGTATGTAACACTTTAGTCTAGGTTATTTCAGGGTGTACTCGATTATAAGTCATTTCGGAAACAAAATATTATTTTATATTTCAAACCATTCTATTAGATGTAATAACATTAAACAAGAAAACAGTGTTTCAGGCTTAACCCAACATGTTTCTTTCCCTTTGCTCATTACAACGATCACAAATGTTATGCATTTATTATATTTTTAAGATGAGTCTTAAATAGCAATCCAAGCAAACTTAAAGCATTTTTCATTCTTCCATATTATCAGAAAAGAAACAAAAAGGATTTGAAAGAAATCCACATGATTAAAGACATTTCGTGATTCCCTTTTGTATGTCTTTAAATAAATTGAAAGACTACGTCATTTGCAATGCCAATATATCTGTAATATTTGCCACTGGACATATAACAACAAAGGTAAAAGAACTTTATTATTAAAGTCGAAAATTGAATAAAAACAGCGCCCAATATTTATTGGAAGCCTTATTAAAATTTTATACATACCCCCTTAAATTCTGTATTCATCATGTTGTTCATTAGTAATATATTCAAACGGACATTTAAATAATATAACGAATACATGTACGTCATTTTGATCATTTCAGTTTCTTGAAATATTTTTTCTATTAATCCACAATATTATTGTAGAAACTATCAGAGTAACTCTTCTGTTACATGTGCTATTAATATATATATTAAAATGCAACAAACGATTTTTGCTGTACAAAATCAAAATAGAACGTTTTAACATGTTTAAGTTTTAAGGAGATGGATTTTTAAACGATATAATTAAAAGGAAAACATAAAGTGAAATATAGTTTTTCTCTAATTTTCACTATTGAATAATGTTAATGTGTTTAATATTACAAAACAATTCAACTGAATTAACACAGTTAATATTTTGTAGATGCACAGACGAGGAATGGCATGCAATGGATAATATTCGTTTTACCCGCTTGAATACTATGTGACAGAAATTCAGCCAAGATTTGCATCGGAAAACAAACTGCGGATAGTATTATTTGGTTTTAGTGAATTCGATACCATATTTTATGTGATAGAATTGCGACTCGAAAATAAAAGATGTTTGTTAATAATGAGATATTTAGTGTTCATTGTATTACTAATTACTACGACCCTCCTAAAAAAGTATCAGCCGTTTTACTAAGTTTTCACTTTCATTCAATATCGCGGTAGTCCTTTAGAATTATTTCCATGGGTGAAAACATTTCAAGAAGGTGCCAATGAAAATATCTAAAAGGCAAAACGTCCGGATGAATGAAAATGAACCATAGAAATAACTCTCCATTCATGAAAAATAATGGAGAGTTTAAACAAAAGATGTATATCACAAGTGTATTTTAAAGGATAATCAAAATAATCAAAATATGGACCCAGTACACAATACAGGGACGAAAAAACTTTATCATATTCTAGACATAGAGGAAAATACAGGGACGAGAAAAATATTAAAAAAAACACAGAGGCCAATACATGGGATCAAAAAATAATAAAAATATTCACACTGAGGACATTACAACGACGATGGAATATAATCAAAATGTAGTCCCAGAGGGCAATACAGGGTCGAGAAAAATAATCCGAATATAGACCCAGAGAACAACACACAGACGACGAATATAATTAACATCTAGACCGAGAGGAAAATAC